GATTGGAAGACACAAAGTGTCAATCCTCGGCGAGCCTCGGTATCATGGCCGCGTACAGACCAGGGATTCTGTATCTTTTTCCTGGCCTCAGCGTTGTCGTTTCATCCACGTATACTGGTCTATCATTCTCCCAACCTGTCCAAAATCCTTGAATCTCTCTCCCATCGAGTGATAGCATTCCTGCATGTAGTAATGTTCAGGATAGCATTGTTTGGGACGAGAAAGTCGAGTCCCAATATCCCATCCAAATCCTCTAATTGTGCAATAACCATTGTTTTCTTATTGTAGATTTGCTCGGCGATCTCTAGATGGACAGCAGTTTCTCCAGGACTATCCACTGCTTCGTCGTTCGCCATCTTCAGATCTCTCTTTCTTGTTATCAGCTGTAGCCCGGTTCTCGCTTTGACGTCATTGAACCTATCTTCATTTTAGAATTAGGAAATGTTTATATACCTTCGCGTGCATGCTAAAACCACCTAACCAATCAACCAACCGATGCTGATTGAACCTTGAATCTTCGTCTTGTTTTCATGTCGTCTTGTCGTATGAATCACTCGGTGCCTACCATCAAACCGAAATTAGTTAGTCAACCGATTTTTGGTTAGTTGATATGGATTTTAGCATATAAGCTCGGATACAGCAGCTCGTAAACGGATAAACGCGTGGGCGTCAGTTATTTCATCACGCGGGCAGGATTAACAATGGCAGCAGTGAAGCTGGTTGCGGTGTGTGTATTGTGCTCAACCTTATTGGTAGTTAGGACACAGTTCCTGCAGGAACCATATGACACGGAGGCAGTTGAAGGTACCAATGTTACGGTGCACTGCACGATTGACATTAGTTTCAATTCCATGGAAGATTTACCCATTTTTGTTGATTGGTACCGTGACAGTTCCTACTTAAGCCCTACTAATGAAAAAAGATATTTCTACATTAACGACAACAGGTACGACACAGGAAACTTTAGTTTGCTAATATCTAACTTGACAGTTGAGAAAGATGACGCAGAGTTCTATTGTGAATGGCAGCAAGTCGAAGTCGCGCCGGGTGGCGGGCCTTCATCTAACAAGAGTCATCTAACTGTGCTTGTGCCACCGCAGTCGGTTGTCATGTCTCTTATAGACAGCTCTTCATCACCGGATAGAACGCTACAGTTCTCGTGTGTATCAGACAGCAGTAATCCAGCAGCTAGCGCTACCTGGTGGCTGAATGGTGATGAGATTACGGCCGACTCCAATCAAACAAAGGAAGCGGGTTCAAGAAACAAGACATTTACAACAAAAAGTATCCTGAGTCACAAGTTTTCAACGGAAGATATTGACAAAGAACTTCGTTGTAATATCTTCATTCACCAACGTTTACCCGAAGAAGTGTTAACCGAGATTTTGTACATGGCAGACACCGTGACCATCATCAGCAGCAACAACTCCAGTGATGATGACGTCATTATTATCGAGGCAAAGAAGCTGATTCTACACTGCAATGCTGACGGCTATCCAAAACCATCTTACTCGTGGTTGCACGACGACCAGGAGATACAAGCTGCAGGCGACGAGGTGGTGATCGAACGAGTCGAGTTTAAACACAGAGGATTGTACGCGTGTACAGCAATTAGTGTGTTTGGAGCATACATGTCGAGTAACAAGTTGATTGTGACCGTGTTAGTGCCAGCAAGGAATGTCACAATGACGATAGACGGTAATAATGTAGACGGTAATATGACGATACTTGCTGGATCCCTTGAGGTTAGCTGCACTACAGGTAAAAGCTTTCCGGGAGGAACGGTAACATGGAAGCTTGGTGATACATCTGTAGACGGAGCTAATACTTCATATGTTAGTGAAGTTGATGGAACGATAACGACGTACAGCAAGCTGACGCGTACGTTTACCGCTGATGATCACGACAAAATACTTACCTGTCATGTTGACATCCACGAATCATTCCAGTCACTGTCAGTCGATGTTCGGCTT